CCCCTAGTCCTTCTTTTCATTAAACTAGACATACCCAGTTCCTGCAACCGTTCTTCATATGTATTAGCCTTTATTTAGAAGAGAATCTTTTTTTTTAAATGAAGGGGGGCGAGGGGGGGAGATCAATCTTGATGTTAATAGTTGTCAACGTACAATGCCAAGCTTCCAATAACTGATTCCTTTTCTTCTTTCTATTTGTTTGTCTGTTTTTAATAAAAAAAGGTGCTGTGGGTTGCTACAAAATGAAGAGAGAGAGAGAGAGAGAGAGAGAGAGAGATGAAAGAAAAGTCACAGCGTATCACTTTCTGCTCCACCACGGAGAATATAGTTACGCAATTAACTGAACCATCAGAGAGAATTTAAATGATAGCTGCAGAAGTCAAGACAAGCTACGGGGGCCTCGTACGAAGAGACAGAACGCAGCTCTTCTCTAACAGGGAGAGCTGAACGATTTTGTAAGGAGGGGATGACCTAAACATCGTTGTTATTGGCGAGGAAACTTCACATTAATACCAACAGAAGAGAATTCTCTTCACGTATTCACGCCCACATGTTAAGATAAACCTCAGTCGTATCTTCAGGTTCAAATATTAAAGTAAAGATATTAAATGTTGAGATTCTGGAGAAAGTGCAGAGAAGAGCAACAAGGATGATTAGGGAAGGCTAAAACGTAGGAAGAACGGTTGCTGGAACTGGGTATTCTGGTCTTGTGAAAAGAACAACCAGCAGTGGCATGATAATATTTGAGGGGCTGCCACACAGGGAAGGAGTCAACCCTATTCTCCAAACCACCTGAAGACAAGATAAGAAACAATGGATGGAAACTAAACAAGGAGAGAAGCAACTTAGAACTGAGGAGGAATTTCCTGACAGGGAGAACCATTAATCAGTGGAACAACTTGCCTCCGGAAGTTGTAAGTGCTCCAACACTGGAGGTTTTAAAGAAGAGATTGGACAGTCATTTGTCTGAAATGGTGTGGGCAGGGGGTTGGACTAGAAGACCTCCAAGGTGCCTTCCAATTCTTGTATTCTGTTAAATCTGTCCCACAGACAGTCTCTATTCCCCCCCCCACCTAAGTTGTGCTGTCCGTGGTCCTGAAACATAAATATGACTTCAGATTAAATTCTTGTGGATCACAATAGCGAGTCCAATGTCCCCCTTACCCAACACCCAGAGAGTGGGAAGGCAAAAGAACACACACACACACACACACACACACACACACACACACNAAAGTGAGCAGTTTTAAATGGAGGACCACCTGTAGTAGGAAGATGTTGCCTTAGCATCAGCTAAAACCTACAATTTAAGGGATTGGCCATGATGTAATTTTCTCCATTTCTGAAAAAGCTAGATGGACTGTTTAAAAGCCCTCGTCTGCTTAGTGGTGCTGGTGTTGGTTATTACCTTTAAAGCCCTACATGGCTTAGGACCAGCCTATCTGCGAGACCGCCTACTGCCATACACCTCCCAACGGGCAATAAGATCCCACGGGCTGGGCCTCCTTCGGATACCATCAGCCGGTCAGTGTCGGCTGGCGGGCCCCCGGAGGAGAGCCTTCTCTGTGGCTGCTCTGACCCTGTGGAATCAGTTACCCGCAGAGGTCCAGACCTTACCCACTCTCATGGCCTTCAGGAAAGCCGTTAAAACTGGCTGTTCCGGCAGGCCTGGAGCTGTTGACTTTAGTGTTAAGGTCCAGCCCCGATTAGATCGTATGTGTGTTGTGTATTTTAAACTATTTTTTAAAACTTATTTTGCTTTTCTTTTTTCTTCTTCTTTCATTGTAAGCCGCCCGGAGTCCTCTGGGATTGGGCGGCCTATAAATTTAATAAATGAATGAATGAATTTATACTAACCAGAGTTTTTCAGTGTCACAAATTTCTCCTATGGTAACTTCCTACTAGCAAAAAGGAGTGTCTCCAAACATTCTATATGAATGCAAAATACTCCTCCTCCTTACTATTCATGCAGGCATTGTAGGAGAGATGTGGTAAGCTATGGTGGCAAAAAAATCAGGAAAAGTCTGCTGACCCTTTTTTGGACTAACACATTTTTAAGAGGCTGCTGATTTGATTTTTAATGAAATGTGTTAGTTGGAAAAGATGTTACCATATTTCTTTTAATTAATGTAGAAAATTATGCTGATAGAGGTTTGTAATTTGCAGTTGTAGTCGATATGACATAGTTTCTAAGCATAGGAGTTCCAATAACTACTGCATTGAATGTATTTTTTAAAAAAAACATGTTATGGTTTTTAAAAAAAGGTTATTTTCCAGTATGTAGGTTTTTCTGTTTATAACCAAAATAGGAAAAATATTTCTACAGCACCCAGTATTCTATTCAGACAGCTGCTTTCTATCTTGTACAATATAGTTCAAAACAGAACTTGTTGCAACATATTGCAATTCCTTCTTGCTGATATTTTCTAATATAGGAATGAGTTTCTCATGATTCCTAACAGAAGAGAGATACTTAAAAACAAGAAAGAGAATTTGTTCTAAAATTCAGACATTCTACAATTAATTTATTGTATTTCCACTATTTTGGGGGGGCAAATTCATGGTGAAAAAATTATATTTTGCAAAAATATTATCAATGCCCTGAACATTGAAACATTATATTATTTTATTCTCATTCTAGGTATTGTGAATATGCTGAATCTTGTACCAAATGTTATTGATTGAAACTGTATAAACATATTAAAATACTTAATTACATTTCTGAATTTAATGAACATAATAATGACTAAATCAAATTTGTATTCAAAACCCAGCTGATTATTTACTGGCTGATTTAAAAATATTTTCCATATGGTTAGGTCAGTGGTGGGTTGCAGGCAGTATGCCCTGGTACGGGGGTACCGGTGCCTGCCCAGAGCACCGGGTACCATTCTGGTACACTGCTCCAGAGGGCCTAGCCGCCCGCACAAGCTCCTTACCTGTCTTTAAACTCTTTGGTGCTTCCGTGCACGCTGTGTACAGCGCCTATGCGACACTCCGCCGAGCAACTGGAGCATCGCGGAGGCACCGCTGGAGGGTAAGACGCATCTGCGTGCTGCGTGTGTTCATGTGGAGGATGCCGGGCAACGGGATCCTGAACCCACCACTGAGTTAGGTGTTATATTAGGAAATATAGAGAAATTAAAGGCAGGTACAAAATCAGCTTAATTAATGACAAAAATGCAGTTATTAATTTTATATTGTTTTCTTATCCCAAATGATAAACTTGAATCCACTGACAGGGAAGCAGATTTGACTGGATGTTAGAACAATTCTTAACTATGGGTGCTGTTTGCTAAGAAAGTTTTGTCAAAGGAAAGGATGACAACCCATTAAAAGAAAATAACCAAGAAATTATTATATCATTCTTTGCCTAGCTGCATGCTCCCTGAAAGGTGGAAAAAGTTAATTTATGTCACTTCTATACAATCCAATTAAGTTTAATAAAAAATAACAAAATGATTAAATATAGAATGAGAAAAAAATGTAAAAAATATACAAATGAGTCATGCATATATAAATAATACTTTTATAGTATAAGTTCAATTTTAAAAAACTGATAACAATTTTTTTTTTCAAGAAAAGTGTTACTGATTGCTGACAGTACATTCAGGCTTAAATCCTTAAATCACTTTTAGCGTACCAAAACCTCAAATAATCCACATAAAATAATGCTGAGAGAAGAATGCAACTATACAGTCAACAAAATGGCTTAGTTTTTTTGTAAATATAATTAATATACTTTCCACTTAGATCCAAATTACGTGGATGTATCAGTATTTTCATATTATAGGAAATATGTATAAAAAGAAGAAATCAAATATAATGAGTTAAATAATTAACTCATTTAGCACAAGAATACTAAATTCTAAAACTGTATTTTAAATAACAGCTACTCAGAAACCACTTTCAAGGATTTTTTTTCTCCTTCTTTCACCTGGTGTTTAACAAGTCCTGATAATTTGAAATTAAAACTGATTTTTTTTTGCCTGAAACTGCACTTTAGGACAAAAGTAGTTTCATACTTCTCTTATATTATTTATAAACCTTGACTTAATAACTGGGTTATTTTCATTCTGGCATCTCTTGACAAAGAATGCACAGAACTTGTTTTAGAAAAATGTCCTGATTTTTCATTTTTAGTCCCATCTTGATTCAATCATCACAGAATGCTTCATTTGTTATTACTGGCTGAAAAACATGGAGTTGATCTTATTATAACTCTTGAGTGTTGTCTTTTAGCAAGTGGTTTTTTTAGGGGCATTGGACTTTGCAGACCATAGCTGTTGAATGGAATAGGCAATGCAAGAGAAAGAATTTCCCCCAGTTTCTGAATCTATTAAACTATGAACTGTTAAACAGAAAGTGACGTAAGTAGGAAAGTACAATTAGTAAGTTTCAGCTGTTTCATTACTATTAATGCACATTTTAAATTAAAATTCTGTAGTAATTGATAGTAATTTGAATAAATATAGGAATGGCACTTAATGCATTGTGAATCTATTTTATAGTGCTTAACAAAAGTATGAAGTAAAATACTGTAATCAATCATTACAAAACAGATTTCCATTTAAAAAATAAAAATAAGAATACAGATTATGTCATATTATCTCCAGATATTACCAGCTTTATGTTAGTCTATATGCTTTCATTGTGCTGTACATTTTATAAGATAAGAGAGGGGGAAAACAAGTAATTTAACTCCCATAATTAGAAACATTAAATGGTTTGTGGGGATACTTTATCTTAATTTTATAGTTCTAAAACTGTTGCATGAATAATTAGTATTCAGGGAATAGTTTTTAAAAAATGAATTGAAAATGTTTTTTCATATATGCATTTTAGTTACTACTCAATTATTTTCTAGCTCCGCAAAGAAACATTCTGCAGTTTAATAATTTTCCTTTAAAAACTAAAATCAATGTGTTTCAGTGTGATGAAAAAATATAATAAAAATTGCTTATCTTTCTCCACTGAAAATCAGAGAAAAATATCAGTTTAATCTTGCTGAATTTAGCTTTGCTGAACTTATTTATGATGTTGTATTAATTAAGGCTTGAAATACTCAAAAATTAATTTTCGCATTATTTCCAAGACGAACCATTATGCTTTCAAACCTAAGAATACTTAGCAATAAGCTCCACTAACATCAGTAATACTTACTCCCATGTATGTTCATCTAGGATTAGGATATAAGACCCCTATGTTCCATGGAAAAATGTAACATTCACTTTAGTTCATTTCAACATGAATTCAAAGTGCCAATAGCTTTAGAGTAGGGGTGTCAAATTTGTATCGTCATGGCGTCATCATGTGACGTAAAGCAACTTCCCCCTTTTTGCTAAACTAGTTGTGGGTGCAGCCAGGCTGCAATGCATCCGGCCCACGGGTCGCAAGTTTGACAGTCCTGCCTTACAACTATCTATGTGGCATAACTTGATTTATTTTAATTCTTTGCTGCTTTACTTTTTGAAACCCTTCAAAACAAACGATGACCATGATTCAGTAGTTTCTCTTCCAATGACCTAGGACTGAAATTGATATAAGTGTGAAATTTGACAAATTTATATCAGACAGCTACAATGCAAAGAAGCACACAAAGCTGTCTCTCAAGTCCATGGTCACATTTAATGGCTCATATTGAATTCAAATCCAATTTGGTTACAAATATCTATGCTGTTTTTGCTTTCAAATGGAGTTCTTATTTTTCTAAAATCTTGCATTTGCTCAAGAAAATACAAAAAGCAATATAGTTACACAAATAACATTTTTTCAAAAAGTAAAATGTAACAAATAAAAAAGTTATAAGTCAATCCTGTTTCAAGTTGTAAGAGCTCTCACTTCTGATTCTTTGTTAAGATCTGACAAGTTTAAAGCCTTGTCCTGTATCCAATACTGTAGGAAGAAACCAACTCATTTTTAATCGTTTTAAGCACCTAAAACAAGTTTTGCAAATCCAGAAGAGATTAAGCCCACAGAACCAGTTTGCAAGATGAACCAATGGGTATGTGATGCGGGGAAAATACATCATCCAGTGTTTGGCAACATCACTTTCAGTTGGCAAATGTAAAGTGTAGTCACTCCACCCTTTCGACACTCCATACACAGCTTTCACAGTACGTCCCTTTTCAAACCAGCTGATATTGTGATTGGAATTACAATTGTATTCAACCCAATCTCGGGTGAAATCACCAATGTGGGGAGGTTCTGATTCTTCTATGTCTACTACTTTAGCCAGTTCTGCTCCTTGCACTGCGATATACATGTCACTGACTTTTCTGACTTCTTTAACCCAAGGCAGAGCATTTTCACAGTCTAAGACTATAATAAGCCGTGAACAAAAGGAACCATTCTTCTCTCTCCACCAGTCTAAAAGCATGTCAAGTTGTAATGAATCTCCACCTGTGAGGGAGCCAGAAATGCAAGAATTACAAAAAAGAACCATTCCTACTTTATACCAATACCATCATGTTTTGTCATATGATGTTTTAAATAATGCTAGAAAAATTAGTATGTCCTACAAGAATGCCTTCAATGCAGTTTTGTTCAGATCAAGTTCATTGCAGGAATCCTATCCACGAAAAATTGCACTAGTGAAGCGCCATGCAGTCAATACAGGTAATTCCCAGGTTACAAGTGTTCTCTTAGCGAACATTTGAAGTTATGCAATAAGTGCCCCCTAACATTTACGAACAAGTTCCAAAACTACGAATTTGCAGCAACATGGCAGTAATTTGCTCTTACATGATTGCAGAGGCTTTGCAACATTCGCCCTGCCTATTCCTCCCCTCCCTCCCCTCGTGCCGGGCCTCCATAGGTTGTGAATACTCACCTTGTGGATACTCTTCTAGAGAGCCTTCACTTTCTTGGCCTTTGGTGTGTATACAGAATGTGTACCTTTGATCACAATAGATCAGTAGTGCAAAACTCACACTATTGATCTCGCATGACCTCACGCTACTTTAGGCCTCTGTTGTCTGCAAATGGAGGCCTGGATGAGAACAAATTTTTGCAAATGGAGGGAAGGCCTGAAACATCTGTTTGCAAAGCCTTTTGCCATCTTTGCAAAAAGTCTTTGGTGCAGAGAACAGAGCCCCCAGAGGGAGTGCATGTTGCTCCAGAACCCCATTTTTGCCACCTTTCCTAAAGGACTCTGCTGAAGAGAAGCTCCATTTTCAGGATCGCTCAAACACTTGTCACCCTGATGCAGACTGCAAAAATGCAAATGGGGCAGTTGGAAATGGAGCTATTTGCTCCATTTCCAACCCCAAAGTCTCTCAAACAAGTTCCACCCAGAAGCCTCTGGGGTGCATGATCTCGCATGAGTTGAGGCACCCATTTGTTTTTCAGAGAATGGGGCCTGACATTCCCATCTCCGCTGGAAAAGTGGTGGCACACTAATGAGGGGCTTGGACCAATGTGAGTTTGCTGCCCCAAAGCCTCATTTCATGCAAACGCTTTTTCACATGGAGCCTGGAAGCTTTTGGAGAAGACTTAGTGAGGCTGCCCGCCATTCCAGAATTGGCAGGCAGGCTCAGTGATCAGAGAAGCCGAACAGGGCATGCTAATCCTACTCTCCCACTGCTTTCACCACTCACAGGCAAAGAAACAGAGATGTTAGAGAGGAGACAGATCTTCACAAGGTAAGTGACTTGAGTATGGTAGATTGTGGGGGAGGGGATAAGCAATAGTGGGGAGAATAAGGTATTTCAGTGGGTCGGTGGAGACCTTGAGTGGTCTGAAACGGGGCCAGTTCCATTACTAGGAATCACACTTCCCCATCCTGAGATATGCACTTAACGAGCCTTGTCATTTGATTAGCAAATGTGTGGGCGAAAGGAGGGAGTGATCACATTCAAGGTATGAGATTCACTCCCACCAATCCTTACGAATGGAATGGGCATTCATGAGGATTGGTAACTTGAGGACTATCTGTACATGGAGGACAAAAATACTTCTAATAATAAAATAAAAGTACACTGTCCACCTCTTGGGAATGTAGAGTCTAGAAGTTTGTCTTTTCCCATCTTTTTCTTAAAGCATTGGTCATACTTTAGGTATGAGTATTTTTCTCTGTAAGATCAAATAACCTGAAAGAATACAGTGAACCTTGTTAATAAAAATGGTGATAGTTCACAAAGATAATTAGATATAAATGGAAATATATACTATTTCCATAGCATAGAAGATAAAGCAGGAATTAATCATTTTATTCAAAGAGGAGGCTATATTTAAGTATGTTTTTCATTTGCATATTAGTTCTGGATTTTGTGCTTATGATGAAAAAAGAAAATGTTGACTTTAATTTTGTCAATTAGATTTGTCATTATAAAAATGACTAGTTATATACTAAAGTGTTTAAAGCAAAAAGTTGAAGTTGGAGTGTTTTTATCTTGTACTGTGCCTTTCCCCTCCCTTTTTACCTCTTGTACCTCACACTTACTCCCCCCCTCTCTTACCTTCCTCTAATTTCTTATTTCTACTTTTCTTTGTGTTGTATGTATTTGTAGGAAGTTATCACCCACCCCTCTCCTGGAAAATGAAATATTTTAGGAAATATTAAAATGGCAGAATATTTTCCCCTAAAAAGGAGGCAGAAACTCATTCCCCCCACCTTTGTCAATGAGCCATTTCAGCCTGAGCCAGAGAAACATGTTTTTAGGCAGGAAACAGACTCACTCTTAATAGCTCCCCCCACCTTTGTCATTGGGCCATTAAGGACCCAGCCAGCCTACTATATAACCAAGATCTATCCCATCTCCTTGCCCTTCATTGCAATACCCACCAAGTTTCAACCAAACTTAGCACACAACCTACAAAGTTAGCTAAGACCCTCGCACACAACCACCCCGGGAGTCTGACAATCTGGATGCATTTCTTGCACAGGAGGAACCAGAAGCTATGAGGTGGGGCCAAACGGGGTATTAAAAATTCAGGGACCCTCAGCAAGGCCCTTTCCCTTCTTTTTCTTCACTCAACATCTTCGAAGCATGTGGTCCCATTTTTGCCTAGGACCTCAAGCCATGGGTCCTGTCCACCATTAAAACCATCTTTCCAAACAGCCTCCATGTTTCCAGTGTCTTTTTCCCCACTTGGAACTGAACCCAGATGGACATTTCTTCCAACATATTAAATAATAAATAAATAATAAAAATATTGTGATGTTCGAGGAAAATATTTGCCTTTTTCAAAGACTGTGCAGCAACAATGGAGAGCAACCACATGATCCCGAGAAAAAAAATAAATCTGCTTCAATGAGTTTTATATAGGTAAAAGCCAGCTTGATGTAGTGGTTAAGGCATCAGGCTAGTAACCAGGTGACAATGAGTTCTAGTCCTGCCTTAGGCTTGTAACCAGCTGGGTGACTCTCAGTTCTAAGAAGACAATGGTAAACCACTTCCAAGAATAGGGGCTTTGCAATGCATGAGAGTACAAATGAAGCATCACCCCTTGAATCGTTAAATCCACTGCATCTTTTGCCATATTTCACATGGCTGTTTTCAAAACTGCTCCCAGCAGTTTCCAAATATATGTGAATGCAACAACAACTTTATAAGT